AATAGTTACAGAAATAAATCGGCCAAAATGTGCACAATGGCTCCTTTCACCCATACACACAATACTATATTTTGATCTAATTTTATATGATCCTGTTTTTATCACTAACATACACTTTAGGGTATTTTAATGTTGTAGTCAACCTGAAGCCTATCCTAGATGCTTTTTAAAACACGTGGACTTGTATATTGGTAGCACAGTACTCAATCTACAGAATAGAACAATATTTGCTCGGAAATTAAGTGGAGTAGAAGTAGAATGGAGCATAAAATGGAAAATACTCAAGTAACACTATGTCTTGAGTAAATGTACTTTGTTACTTTTCACCACTACTTAATTGTAAAAATACTCGTAAACTTGTAAAAAGTTAAATTACAAGAGTATTGGCATCAAAATATACCCAAGTACCAAAAGTAAAAGTACTTGTTATGGCCCATTTCATATGGGCCATAACAAGTACTTTTCTATACTTCTGTTGGATTAAGCTATAATTATTATTAGTCTAAGTTTGAGGTATTAGTTTATTTAAATGTTGTGTTAGCTAATAATCTATAAAGAAACTAAAGCTTTAAAAATAAATGTAGTTAATTAAGAAGTACAACATTGGTTTCTAAAATGTAGTGGAGGGTAAAATAGCATTAAATGGAAATACACTTGTATCTCAACATTGTACAACACTTGATTAGACATACTTCATGATATTCTACTACTGATCTTAAGTTTGTCCTTTAAAGTCTACAGACCTGCCAAGCAATAAACTGGAGGGCTCCATATTCTTCTCAAGACATACCGGAGGTCATGCCCTCCAACTCCCCATTCCTTGAATGCCAGATGGTGATACGAAGTAATTGAACTATGAGCTACAGGTGCGTGAGACTCCTCTGGACGTTCAATATAAGAGAGGGAGAAGGGAAGGATTACTAGTCTCTGCTTGTTTTATGATCATGACGCCATGAAACGGCAAGATGAAAAGAATGAGAAAAGTAAAGAGCTCCAGAGAGGAGAAGCAGATTGGTAACAGCCGTGTCTGGTTAATGTTGAAAAGATCAAGACCTTTCCGGGAGCATAAATCCTCTCTAAATTTGAATGTAGCTGCTTTAAATAATATTTGTATTATATTCTGAGTGGTATATAATGCACAACAAATCCCACAGTATCATGAGGCGACGGCTGCTCCGTGACAATGTGTGGAAAGCAGTGACATGAAGTCTGACCCATCAGATGTAGACTGTGAGAGGCAGGAGATTTGCTCTTAAACCACCCGTTCAAGTATTATAGAACCGGTGGTGTCATGAATGTATTTATTCACATACCTGCAGATGTATTACATAGTTTTACTGGAGGATTGCTCTAAAGGACACAACAGAGAACTCAGACCGCATAGCACTTGCATATAGTGGTGAAGGAATGAGTGCTAAAACCTGGAAAAGATTTGACCACTTCTTGTTTCCTTGTCTCAATTTTTTTTAATGTGTTTGTGGTTAGAAGCCTGAAATAGAGTCTATGGTTAAAACAAGTTTACAAGATTTGTAGATTATGTTCCACAACATAAAATACATTAGTAAATACCCCGCTGGTGAATGTCAGCAGCTTCTGACTGTCATAAAAACGGCGACTAAAGTGACTAAATCAGACCACATAATGTCATTATGCCGAACATTAGCCGTCTTTAGCTTAGCGGTGGTGATGCGCAGCCATGTGACAAAATAGGAGTTGGCCACAAAGATTATTTTCTGCAATATTCTCTCATCCAATACTTTTTGTCGAGGGAACCGTTTGAATGCTAACTTCTTGGTTGTCCTACACCACTCTAAAGCATGACAAAGACATGGCAACATCCAAGGACGTCATGGTTACTACTTTGTTGATTAGGAGATCACAGCAGGTTTAAGTAAGCCCCTAAATCTACCACTAAATACTGCTCACTGATGTTCATGTTCAAAGCGCATCATGCGGACGCGTAAGGTTTATTTCTGATATCATGCACAACAGAAAACACTGAACGGACACAGGATAAGCAGCCATGTGCAAAAAAAAAGTTAAAAGCAAGTGTATCTTCGGCTTAAGCCATTGCCGGGAACATCAGGTGGCATTATCCTCTTTTTTTTCTATCTGCATGTGACTGTTTTGCAACAAAAAAAGTGTTGCTGAATCTTCTGTTAAGAACCCAAGACAATTGAGAGTTTTTGAAAGATATACATGCTGAATAGTTTTTTCTCCCTACCGGAATGATAAGAGGTGGAGTCAGACATTTCTCCAGCCCTGTGGAGAATAAAATAGATCTGGCTTTGACTAAAAAGCCTAAGAAGTGGTAAGCAGCCCCTGATAAAAACAGCAGAATAAATATGTTGAACAATTCATGTGTTTCAAATTCTATCTTTATTATAATCTGACAAAAACAAATGAGAGAGGTAGAGACTTTCAAGGACATTCACATATTCAAAACACAGCAACACCGAAGGAAGTGCTGAACCAAATGTAATTAGTTACTCAGTGGCTCATTATTAAGTGGAGTGGCAGTAAAGGCCTCAGTATGCATCAAATTAAGTTGGCGTGAGGAGAGTGGATGAGTTCATTATTGAGTCACCCGGTGTGATAATCCTATCATCCAATGCCCTGCTCAGACCTCGCATTATCATGAGTCTTTGTGATCTGATGGACAGCTCTAGTTGTAAGTGCATGCAAGACATATACAGCAAGATTCTTTTAATCAGACCTCATTTAGTGGAGGTCTGTAAATGGCCCGGGTGTTTTAGCACTGTGTATGCTAATGTGGCCACAATTAAGGTAAGCCTACCCAGCTAGCAGGGAACGTTCTCACAACTTTGGCTAACATTACCTACAGGTTCTAATAATGTTTTAAAGAAACGTTTTAATCTGATGTTCAAATAACCTTTTTAGGGTGTTTATTATTTCAAATAATGTTCCTATAAGGTTTAAGGTTATCTAAGACATAACATTTTGCCTGCAACATTCTAAGGATGTGTTTTGGACGTTGTTGGGGTAACACATTAAAGATGTTCTTTATAAAACATTCCCTCAATGTTACATGATGAAGAACATTCTCCAAGAAACATTCTGAAAATGTTTTCAGGATGTTATTATTTTTTTGTAAAACTTTCCTGTGATGTGAAATATTAACACGGTCATGGTCAATGTCAGATTTATTTCTAAAGCGCTTTAAAAAATAAACTTGTTGCATTTGTTTGAAAAGGATGTTTTAAAAAATCTG